TTTTATTCGTATTTCAAATTAGTTTGTGTCAACATCGTTTCGAGTTTGTACGCACACCATTTCGTATTTGTTTCAATCACCATGTAATTATCACCTCGAGATGTTCTTTCCGATACAGCATCACCTCTATATGTTTGATTGATATGGGTGTCCCAAATCCCAACCCTTCATCGCTATCATTATTGTCATCATTGACATCTTCATCATTGTGATTATCTTTGTCATCATCATCATCAGCAGCAGCAGCAGCAGCCCAGCATCGACATCTTCATTTTATCACAATCGTCGTCACCGAGTTATCATGTATAGTCATCACAAAATGTCATTCGTTTATTTGTCCTTGGCCAAAATGGCTTGTTGTATTTTTTTTCTCTCTCTCTCTTTCTCTGTAAGTGTGCATCTCTATCTATCTGTCTGTCATTCTCCCTGTGTCTCTATTTCTGTCCCTCTCTCTATATCCAATCCAATCCAATCCAAAAGATATTTGATATAGCGCCTTTTCCTTGCAGTTACAAAGCGCTGCACACACGCTCTACATGTTTTGGCCACTTAAAAACAAAAGTTAGACACTTCTCAGAGATCAGTCAAGTATATGTAAGGCTGGTAATAAAGTAATTTCTAGCAGAATCTCTCTCTCTCTCTCTCTCTCTCTCTCTTTTCTCTCTCAAATAGCGCTCATGTCAGAAAGCTATGAAAGGCTATAACAAACTCGATTTAGAATTTTAGTTCAGTTTACGTATAAAAACGTTTTAATATGTATATAAAGCACATCTAGATGTAACTTTAAGCGTCCATCTTCCATTTAATTTACAGTACTTTATAAGAATAATTTACATCGACAACAAAAATATATTGCACAGCTTTTCGTATTCACACGATGACGCATCCACATAATATTTAGAACTAAAAAAAAAAGTTAAACGCATTTTAGAAGAAGGTTATTTCGTATGATAGTCACATCAAAATCATTTAGTCGATAAGGTCTTTCATCTGTTCCCCAATCTCTATCTTAAAGTATAGAATTGCAAAATATGTTTCTTTCTTTCTTCTCTGAACGGTATTAGAACAATGGCGCTGTAAATTAAGATTATCAACGAGGGTGTGAGATTATCATTGTTTTCTTTAACGTCATTCTTATTCCTTAAACACATGTTGAAACAAATTTGATGACGGATGGTTAACTTTAATTTTTAGAAGACCGGTACTTCCATTTTTTTTAGTCACAATGTTTAGTGAAGTACAAGATCTATCAAAATTACAATAAAGATACAAAATTACTGAAAATAATTTCAACGTTAATAGGATTACTACCACCTGTATGCCTTTGAATGCTATAAACGTAACATTAACGTTGAAATAATCGTTCATAAACCAATATACTAACTCATCAACAAATAAACAAATGAATAAATAGATAAAGACATGAATAAATGAATCACGTAATCAATAAATAATCAATTAAGTTTGAATTAATTATCAATGATAAAATAAACAATATTAAGAACAACAATAATGAGAATAATGGTGATAATAAGTGTCAGTACCAATATGAACATCTTTTTGTGGTAGCGTAGACAAGGAACTCCCGGATGTGAAGTATAATTAAAGAAAAGTGTCCCTTAAAATGACCAGTTCTTTGAATTTCCTTATATTAAAAATATGTAAAGTAACACCTAAAGGTTGTGGACTACGCTTTCATGCAACACGTTTGTATAGTCCCATGTTCCTATTTATGTTTACAGTGCCTGTGGCATTTGGCAAGACCGGGCCAATTTCTCATAGCTGTAATGATTCCAAAACCTCACATCACACACCAATAATTATCAATTACATGATCAACCTGTTTCAATCACTTTCAACACAATTATTTTTAAACATTACAATCCAATGACAAGAAGTCAGTTTATCTTTAACCCGTCATGGCGCCCAAACAGTGACTTTTGAGTAATGGTCGACTGTGTTTACGAACATTCCTATACACGTGATCCCCTCCACCCTTGCGGGCATGCGCATAACTAATTGCATTGCAGTTCTTCTTAACTTCATCTCGATATCGAAACTGACGTCGTTCCTTTATGACATGGTCAGCGGATCAGAAGAGCAGCTTTATAGAACGTAAAGAAAGTGTTTTTCATCGATTATCTCAGAGAATAAACGTTGAAAGATTGTGTAGAAAAGGTGAATAGGATTTTTTGACGAATATGGAAGGAAATGATGTGAGAAAAAGAGGTTACGAAAGGCGGACAGGAAATCGACTCAATAAAACAAGTGTTTGAGACTGGTCATATAAACGCATAGCGAAGCAGGAAATTCAATGTTGCTATATTTAGACGCAGGACCACCGTTTGTTCAGTATTTGTCGGGGCTCAGGTGGAAATATAAAGTCAGCTAATAAATATTTAAAGTGCTCTTGTAAATGTTTCAATTTGATGTCCCTTGAGGAAGTCAACCGAAGGTGTAGATATTGTCTATCAACGACCTTTAAATCTATCCACTTCTTTTTATAAAAAAAAACTGTGATAACAATGCATCCGAAGGAGAAAAGCAAACGAGCATGGCATGGACCCGCAAATACATCGGATGCTATGCATTAATTGGTTCGTTAAGGTCACATGACAAGTAATACGAACAAGTGATCGCTTAGAATTTCCGGGAGGTGATATCGAGAGAGGATCCATTTGGAAGGGAGAGCACAATCGTCTTAGGACGCCCTCTATGAATAATGCATGGTTTAGGCTCGCAGGCAATTCAAACTCCATTTGCAAATCCTCTTGAATCCTCGGAAAAGTGGGTTTTACTCGAGGAGTTCAGGATGGCTTGTAATTCCCATCCGTTTCTGATCATCCATGCTTTCTCCTTTAGTCTATATTATCAGACCTTATTTTAGAGGATGTCCATATAGACGATGATTTAACGTTATAAACTTGGTGCTGTGAAAAGTAATTATGCAATTCCTGTGACTTTATAAATGCCTAAAACGTATGCACAGTTATCACAGTAAAATTGGATAAGGTACTGGTAGGGGCTGATATACCCAACATTTTTGGAAGGTTCAATACTAATTATGAATATCATCTCCTCGTGTACAATTTTGGAGAAATTGTAGTCCCAATCTACTGACATCTTAAATCTTTTCATCCGTTTCAGCTTACAATTGTATTATCTTTGCAAATTCTAGAGAGCAGTAACATTAAGTTAGATTTTACTGTACAGTTGCACGTTTTTCAAAGAGGCTAATCTTTATATAGAGAGGATCGCTTTTGTGTCTTTGGAGAGGAGGGTGACGGGGGGGGGGGGCTTTGAAAGTAAGACATTTTAAAAGTGTCAAATGAAACTCTTCAGTTGATGCATGAAATCCATGTTATTGCATACATAAAAGCCTGGAAACATTCTTTACCCGGAATACCACTCACATATAATATATTACTCGCGATAAAATCTCCCGGGATGTTTCTTTGCTTGAAATATACATCGATTTACGAGGACTGATAAAAACGAAACATATCTGTACGATTTATTGATACCATGAGCTCGCCATACAGTCCCCTCTTTAAATAAACATGATAAAAGAACGTGTTTAAATTAAAACATTTGGCGTCCCTCGGCCAGTCATCGAGTCGAAGATCAACCCTAACGGGGAGGGTGACGGCACATGGGGAGGGGTAGGCAGTGCGAAAAGAAGGAGAAGAAAGTTACTTAACATAATTGCTTAATATATAGGATGCATGATAAAATTGTTAAAAAGATAACATTGGTACAACAGATTTTGAAGGCATTAACGTGATAGCGTTATACTGTTTAAAAGAGATGAAAAATGATGTTGTCTATTGAATAATGAACCAACAAGGTTCGGGGTTCGACTCCCTGTCGAAGAAATAATGTCCTTTGGAAAAACATTAATCTCAATTTGCCGCACTCCACCCCCGATGAGGTTAATGGGCAGACGTACCTGGTACGATTTTATTGTTTAAGCGCCTTAATCAATGGCAGCCGTGCTAAAGCTAAATTTTAGTCTTAAATAGTGGAGCACCAGGAGTGACAGTGTGAGCGACTTTGGAGTAAGTTTGATATTAAGCGGGCGAGTTGTCTTATTTATTTAACTCAAAGACTAAATATTCATTATTTGCTTTGATACTACTCTGCTTCGCCACGTTGTGCAAATCACGTTAAAACAATAAATTTTATCTGAAGAAAGAAAAAAGAAAAGGAAAATGATTTTACAAAGGACTAAACTTTGGTAACTTAGCTTCATACAAAAATATCACATTTTACATGTTTTAAGCACATATTTTACTATACATATATGTACATGTACGCACATTCTCCATGAACACACACTTTTCAGCCACGTGCTTAATTTAAACAATTTTTCTCAACAAAAAAAAATTACATTTTAGTTTAAATACCCACAAATGCACTCAATGCAAACACAGTAGGTGAACGGAGCTATGTATGAAGCATCATACAGCCTAGTACATTTCATAATAATAGTACCATTGGTTTTTCATCAATACAATAACTTGATGTAGAAAAATGCTCACTGGTCGGATAAAATAAATAAAGCCAAAATCGTTTATCACGTAATTCTAACAAGAACTGTAAATGTCATCAGAAACGATATATCAGCATAACATGCGACAGGCAGGTCTGTTTGTTGATATTCACGCAATCAGACTTGTCTTCTGGGGGGTGTTTCACAAAGATCCTAAGTAGAACTTAACTCTAAGTTGGACTTAAAAATTATGGACAGCCATTGGAGTCTTTAAATGAAATATGTTCAAAAGCAGAAATTCAAGTATTTTAGACTTTTTATTAATTCCACATCCAGAACATGAAATCTCCTTGATGATAGAAAATATGAATGATTTCAATAAACAATGAATGCCTTTCAAAATAACTTTTACAAAATATTTTCAAAGATGCTAATGGCTTTCCATATTTTTTAAGTCCAACTTAGAGATAAGTTCAACTTAGGATCTTTGTGAAACACCCCCCTGGTCTTGTTTTGACTTAAGTTTCTCGTCAAAGTCCACCGTTCGAGTTTTTTGACCATTTTTTGACAACTTTCGGCCATGGATTCTGACCGCATGAACAAAAATCAAACATGAAAACATTCAAAGTTTAACATCGATCATTCAAAGGAATAGACACATGACGCCAAAATATCCACATGATATGTTATAACAAGGGCGATTGTATACCCTGTGGGGTCAATGCATAATCACGACGTCAGCTCGTGGTCGCCATGCTGTCCGCACGTGGTTCAAATGACCTTTCAAAGATTATGCAAAATGCAGTCATGAAAAACACATGGTTGCAACATAAGACATTGAAAATTATCACATGATCCCCCGATGATCACCTCATGATAACCACTTGGTGTGTCAAGGTAGCGAAATCTTCCGTGACCTTCTCGGCGATCCAAACACAGCTTGCATCACCTTATTGGCCACATTCCGCGTGACGCTACTGCGTCTGCGCTTCATTTGTAAATTGGACTTCTTCGATTCGTGCAGCTCGCGTAGTATCGTCAGGAATGCCTCGCGAATGTCCATGCTGCCCTCAGCGGCCGACACCTCGAAAAAATGGCATCCGTACTCGTCGGCGAGGTCACGACCTTCCTCGGGATTGACCTCCCGTCTGTGTTCGAGGTCAACCATGTTGGCGACGATGGCGATCGGGATGGAGCAGGGTGATTTGCAGCGTTGTAGGTAGCGGATTTGACCTTCGATGGGACGGAATGTTTCGCGATTACAGACGCTGTATGCCAGAACGAATCCGTTGCCCCAGCGGATGTGATCATCTCGGTTTTTCATCAGGTCAGTCTGAAATGGATAAACATAATGGATAAACATAATAGCATCACAATATCATTGTCACAAAAACAAGACCCCGAAGGTTTTAAGATATTTGACTCAATAGCAATTTCAATACTTTATTATATATCATAGATCATTGCTCGGATTGGCTTTAGCCCACAAGCCAGCCTGGCAAAGAGACTGACCATGTAAACGATTGACATTTCTCTCATGTTCTAACTCTTTATTCCTCAAAACGTCCATAAAGAAGAACATCACCTCATAGGCAATTTCAATGAACTTTTCATGTCATACCCTTTAGAAATCATGATCGTATTACGTTATACATGTGCGCTATTTTAATCATGGTAATGTTCGCCATAGGCGGCATAGAGAATGGACTTGGCTATTGTGTTCCTGTTTATAAATAATAAATTGTTCTACACATACATCCTTACATTTTGCCCTGGGAAAGGCGTTTTAAAAGATTTCAGGGGGTGGACGAAATAAAAGAAAGGAAAATAAGGAAGATATAGGAGAAACTAGACTCTTACCCTGGTGCATGTGTCTAGGACTTCCATGTTCATCTGCATGTCATGCTGAAGGACAGTTTGCTTGTACAAAAGATCTGAAAAGACAAAACAATGTTCAGAGATTACTTTACACTGCTTGGATAAGTTTATAAAATATATTGCAAGAGGTGTAGTTATCCAGCGGACACGTCACTCGACTGTGGTTAACACGGTTGGCGGTTCGAGTCACGCCGCGTCACCAATGTCATTTGGCAAGACATCAATCTACATTTTTTTTTTTTAAAGCTTTATTTTGGCGGTTCAGCTACGGCCCGGGTAATGATATGATATTTCATGTTAAGCGCAGTAGAGTAATTTTCCACATAGTAGTTGCGCTATAAAAATGGACCTAATATTATTATTATCAGACAATTAGGTTCAATTGGCTAGCTTTTCCCGATTCATGACCAATTTTAAACAGCCTGCAAAATGAGAAAATATTGGAAAACAATATGAAGAACAAGATTCAGAGATAAAACAGATATGACTGCAGGTGAAAAGGGTAAGCGATATACAGAGATGAAGTAAAGTTTGAACAAAAAGGGAAACCATTACACAATTGGGTGCTACTTATTTCTCCAGAACCCAGACTAGTTTTGAAAGACAACACTTTTTGAGTATATGAATCCAGACTACAGGTAAACAATGTAAGTGGAAATGGTTCAGTTTGTTTATGCCGGGGTTGTGGGCGGAGAAGGAGAGGCTTTACCATCTCATGTAAGAAAGAAATGGCTTATGTAAGTTAAGTACCGTAGGCTATACGAACTGTACATAGAAGCTTCTTCTGCCTCCTCCTCCTTTAATATTATTCCAAGGGCGCGTTCATGCTTGATTTTGAAGGTAGAATGAGCGATCTGAAACGCTCATCGTAAACGCTCATCGTGATCGCAGTTCCACGGTGTACTGTTCATGCTTACTTCTCTGGCTCATCGAGGCAATTCTCCGTGTGTGGCCTTAATTGGTCTTCCAGCTGGATTCGCAAACCTTCACTGTGCATGCTACGTAGACCCACTAGAGGTCAGTGCGTTGACCCCATTTAAACGCGTTTACAAATTGTAAACGCATCTTTTTGTGAGTTTACGATCGACGATCGTGATCGCCGTTTTTCGGTGTTTCTACAAAAGTAAGCATGGACGCAACCATGTTTTAAACTAAACGCGTAACAGATGCCTGATTCTGGCCAGAAAAAGTGAAGCATGAACACGCCCCAACTTGCATAAATTGGGTGGGAGGGGGAATCGTACCCGGAAGGCAAACCGTTCCGTTAAGTGCTCATTTTTGTTCTCCAAAAAGAACTCGCGAGGGACAGAGCTAGGTAAACGCGAATCAGCATACTTTCAAATCCATATTTCCCATTAGTGTATACCAGTTACAGACATTATGGAAACACATTAATGCGCCACTTTATCATTACCACCCCCGCCCCCCCCCCCCCCCCTCTCCTTCTATCTCTCTTCCTTCCTTTCTCTCTCTCTCTAGTCTCTACCCCTCTTTCTCTATTTCCCGTCCTTGTTGTTTATCCTAGTTTCACTAATAGGCTATCTATGTTTCTCCCTTCATGTATATTGTCTACTCTCCCTCTCTCTCTATCTCTGTCCCTATGTCTCCCTCTCTCTTTGCGTTCATCTGTTTACGTTATTTCCATTTATTCTGTTTCTCCTTTTCTGTAATTCTATCCCCTTTTACTTTCTGCAAAATGTCATTTTCCTGACGATGCTAATGGAACTTCAGAATGAGCAGGATTATTCGTATTAGCGGTGTGTTTTAAACCAAGATCTAAGGGCAAGGACGAATTAAAGAGAAGTTTGAATCCTGTTAAATGTAAAGACCAGTATTGGAAACGCCCCAATTTCAAAAAATGAAATGGAAGCTCTCATTACCAATCATGTGAAAGAATATGTTTTGACTAATACACAACGATAAAAAAGATTGCCGGGAAACCGCCTACTAATTTATATATTTGGTAGATTTGTTTCTCTCATGGACTGTGAGGGATATAGGGTAGTCCCATATACATCTTTCTGTGTATAGTGCTTGTAACTTTACGAAGAATGGGCCAAATTTCTTATCATTTTGATGATTCCAGAACCTTGCAGATGCTAGATGCTAGATGATCAACCTTTTCTGATCGATTCCACAACGTTTCTTTCACAATGCAATCGCATGACCATAACTGGTCTTTACCTTTAAAGATTGCTTTGAAACTTTAAGTGTCAAAATACTATTGCATGATCAAACTTTAACCATTATGTAATGGCAGGAACTGGATTTAAACGGGATTTCCCCTCCTCAATGCACCTTAATGCTCAGATACGATGCTCAAAGCATATAGGCCTACACAATTACAATCCAATGAATACAAACTTTTAATCACTTTATGGAAAATATCACTACACAAGTATCGTTAGTATAAACATTGTTAATGAAATACTAACAAAACGGTGGGAGAAAGAGAAGCGGAGAGCTGTATGTAGTAATCATAATACACCTCAGCAATACCATTGTGACGTAGCATGCAGGGAAGAGGGTGAATGTATTAATAAGCTACTATCTGCAGCAGGTGTTCCAAAGACATAACGGCGGTACCTGGGAGTTATTACTGTTAGAAGGCACGATTATAATGGGTATGGGTTTTTCTCACAAGGTTATCTATGTGCCCTATTTCACTGGCGTTTTCCAATTTTCTTTTTCAGGAAAGCGAAGTTTCGAATTTCTCTATATTGCCTGTTTGGGAATCATGGGAGATATATATTATTTGTAACCCGACGAGATGAATTGTCTCTCAAGTAGACATACACAATTTGTGTAATGTGTTATGAAGTCCATGTTTGGCATAAAATGACGGGAACATTATGTGCGTGTGTTTGTATACGTACGTTTGTATACATATATACAGATATATATAAAAGCATTTAGATTATGAAATCATGGAGGCTGCACTTTCAAATAAATATGTGCGAGGTGATCTATAAGTCAGAGAAACTAATAACGCTTTGCAACAATGTCAACCTTTCCAATCTCTTTCTCTCTATTGTTAAATTATGTTCGATAGATTCATATTAACAAATTATTGTTCCCAGTAGACCAATTTTATAGATGGACGATACATTTTCCATCGCATCTCATCACCATGGGGATAAATTCTGACAATGATGTTTACCATGAGGATCCTATGCATGTTAAACAAGGATGTTTTATAACTTCATATCTACCACTGATCCAAGATCTCCTACAGGACCAATTTAAAGGATGAAGATATGTTGTCGCATCTTGTCACTATGGAAACAAGGACGTTAACGACGACGATACGAATGTTGACACAATACTCACGAGAGTAATGCTTTCAGAAATGATAACAACAATATTACAAAGATCAAGATACTGACACCGCGTCGTGACATATTAATAATCAATTCAACAGCTTAAACCCGATCCTTCAGTTCAACTGTTGCCGAATAACACAAACCCGTCCAAAAGGACCCTCGAGAAATCAACCTAGGACAATTCAAACCTGTAAAAGCTTTGTGTGTATCATTTTAGAATGCGCCAAAAAGAATCAATCAGAATGTGATATCTAAAGGAAACACAAAAGAGTATATATATAGAAGTTGTCCTTGGAATGATTTCTTGAAAATGCTGGCAAGCGTGATCGAAGCTGAAATTTCATCCCCGGCCTATACTACATTAAAGTGACTCGGTAACATTGCCTCAGATTCTTAAACAAAATTCTGGATTTAGCTCATGCTGCAATCTTGATGATAAACCTTTAGCTAAGTCAGGAATCTAATGACTTTTACAACAGATCACTTCTCTGATTATCAAGATATTTATGATTGGAAAACGAAATCGAATTTTTCGTTTTCCTTACGATTTTTCTAACACTACAATCTATTGGGGAAAATGAGTATGGTAAAATCAGTCTCTCAAAGATTTTTACTTTTTTGAGGCACTTTATGATCATTTTGAAGCGTAACTTTTTAGAGCTTCAATATTACACCATCAAAGACACTGATTACACTTACGGTCATGCATCTCAGATTTAACATTGTTAAAGGTAAAGACCAGTATTGGAAACACCCCAATTTCAAAAAATGAAATGGAAGCTCTCATTACCAATCATGTGAAAGAATATGTTTTGACTAATACATGATGATAAAAAATTTGCCGGGAAACCGCCTACTAATTCATATATTTGGTAAATTTGTTTCTCTCATGGTCCTTGAGAGATATAGGGTAGTCCCATATACATCTTTCTGTGTATAGTGCTTGTAACTTTACGAAGAATGGGCCAAATTTCTTATCATTTTGATGATTCCAGAACCTTGCAGATGCTAGATGCTAGATGATCAACCTTTTCTGATCGATTCCACATCGTTTCTTTCACAATGCAATCGCATGACCATAACTGGTCTTTACCTTTAAACGATGCCTTTTAGCCGACATTATAATTGCGAGCTGGTGGTATTGACCGGTAAGGCTTTCAAGGATAGTTTTGCAACATAAATTGCCTTGAAGAAACACAAATCTAATTTTGACATTGACAACGCTCTTTAGCTAAACGTCTACGTCGCCATGTTTACTGACGTTGAATACACTGATCCGAGGTTTAAGGTTTCACAGGATTAAATATCTATTTCGTACCTTTTTTTGGTTCTATTTTTCCTTCTTCTTATTCTTCGTCTGATTCGGAATATCCTTATGACGTGAGAACCTTTGTACTGTGAAGCTATATTTTATTTGACCATGGTAACACCCAAAGGACGTTCCCGCTCAAACAAATTTTAATAATTTTCAGAATATAAAATCAGTTACGTGTGTTTCCATAACCTCAACCTAGTTGTCCCACGGCCTGGGAGACCGGCAAAGACGGAAGCCGATTCTAAGCTCGGTTTATATCAAATATATAAACAAGAATCTACAATCTATATCTATAGAAATCCCTTTGTCAAAAATGTCCCTTTTCTTAAGATTTAACTTCTCATAACTGATTTCTTGCCAGAGTTTCATTTACAAAGACTTCCGAGGATTTCAAAGCTTAAAAACAAAGACAGATTTAACTCGATTGAGAAAAAAATCTTGACATCTCATTTTCCCACTCCCGCGACTCGTCTGGTAGTCATTAGACATAATCTTTTGTTTGGAGCCGAAAAGGCGTTAACACACACACTGTAACACATAGATAATGCCCTTCTGGCTCTCAGCAGGCAACACATTGGAAAGCCGCTTAATCAACGATCAATACTATTGCGGTAAATAATTTATCTCTGTATAATGGAATTTCATACCATAAATCGGTTTTAGTATCATTCATCCCAGCAAATTAACGATTTATTCTGGTGTAACTTTCTAGCAAGTCGTCCACGTGCACGAAACTGCACGTGGCCGATTGTTCATGCATCTGCAATTGTGTATATATAAAAAGGAGTAATGGATATCACTTAACACTTCGCAATACACGTGAGCATTTCACAAATGAAAAAAAGGGTATCGTTTTCCATCAGATTGACATGAAAATCTCGCTAGCTTTTGTCAGATTTCCTCGACCAATGTTAAATTCGGATTTAGACAATCTATCAAAATGGAGAGATGAACATGTTCTATGTATTTCGTATAAAATAGTGCATGATATGATATATGGTGGGTTTAGAAAGTACTTTGTTATTAAAGAATATCATTATAGCTTGAGAAATGCTCATAAAACGTTAGAACTGCCAAAACCACATATGAATTTTAAGAAAAGGAGCTTATGTTATAAAGGCATTAAATCTTGGAAATGTTATAAAGGCATTAAATCTTGGAATCAGCTACCTATGAACGTAAAAAATATGTCTTTCTCTGTATTTAAATCACGGGTAATATAAATATTAATTTTATATTTTGTTCGCTTAAATATCTATTTATATAACTACAAAATCTAAAATAACGCTGTTTGGAAAGAATAACTGCCGACGGGGGGGGGGGGGGTCTTGGTAGTAGTATCTTGGTTCGTAAATTTTAATTTTTCTTTGTATACTTATGTTCTTGTTTTTGTTTTTTTGTTTTTTAATATTTCATATGTTATGATAATATGTGTTATCTTATTATTGTACATGTAATTTTTATATTGCGCACGGACCAACAGAAGAACAGCCTTTGGCTGAGGTTGGTGCCGTGCAAAAAATAAAATAAACTGAACTGAACTGGGAAAAGGGGCACATGACCGTGTGTTTTAAAAGGAAGAAGAAGGAAAAAAATCGGCTTCGTGTATTGCAAGGTTTTGGAATCATAGAATCATTACAGTATGACGTTCGTGCTGAAAATCACGTCTCAAAATGTATGTAGGATTACACACGCACGGAGCATACCATTTCCTTTCAAAGAATTAAACCATTGTAAGTCATCTTTTTAAGTCAAAGAAGAAAGATTACATCTGATCTTCTGGAGATTATGATGTTGTAATGAACCCCTTCATCCGTAATTAGAGCCAGGCTATGGTTTCAAATAATTCCTATTGTGGGCGTTTACTGAACTCTTTGTAAATTGACGATTATTAGAGCATTTTTAATCTGGCTTACACCGTAATCTTGTAGCTATATGGTTTCATTATTATAATCTTTTCGATCGCAGAGGGTTCCTTATTAGTTCGTTTGCGTGACCAACTGATTAAGTCTTAGCTGCCAGAACCTTGTAAACATGCAAGTAAAGTTGTGGATTCATTCATTAGACGCATTGTGTTGTTCAGGGTGTGATGCACACACGGATGATTATATTGTTTTATAACCCAGTCCTCATTTGTATGTTTCGGTAATTTATATCATGAGTAACACTGTCAATGTTTTTGACAATTATATTCAATTTTCTGTTTAGTGTGGTATACATTAAGGGTTAAAATCATTGTCAATAACACGATATTGTTTATTTATATTGCCCCAAAGACCACGTAATGAGAATTTGTATTGCATCGATGGTCTCTAGATTTAAAGTCGCCTATACAGTATGGAAAGATATACGCCCTACCTAGTGAGCTACAATCTATTTCATAAAGAAGCGTCAATCCCCTTGCGCTAATTACTTAAAGCACATCCACCCAGGCATTGATGCACATACTCAATGAGGCGTTCATTCATAAACATAATCATATTCTTTTCAAGGGCTAACATCAAGGATTTCCCAGTATATCCCTATTCACAGAATTCATTGCGTCAAGCCACTGCGTCAATTAGCTCAATCTATATTCAACAAAAAATAGCGTATTGACTGGTAAACAAACAATGGCTTGTGTATGCTTTGCCAGGCCTTTTTCAAGTAATCTTCCTATACCTAAATACATGGTGGGTCTTTGCACGGGTGTGCCTGCATAAGCCTCACTGGCTACATTGGCGCTTCTTATGTAGTCGAAACTACGATCAAGCAATAATTGTTTCTCTTGTTAGCGTACATTATGCTAAGAGTTCGATAAATGCCATACAACAGTACTAGCATCCCAGCTAAAATGAACAGTTAAATGCACACATTTACAAAAAGATCTGCGCGGCCATTGTGCCAAGCTCTAGTCAAGCTAAATTTTATCTGTGGTGCTGTCAGCTTAAGTTGGTATACTAAATTAGTATTGACATTTTCAAACCCATGTACCAAATTCCTCTCATGGATGGGCTCTCTTTGTCCCCATTTCTCTCTCTCTCACTCTCTTTCGCCCTCTCCCTCTATCTTTTCTTTCGTTTTACTTTCTCTCCTTCTCTCTCATCTCCTGTCTGCATCTCTCTCTCTCTCTCTCTTCTATATCTTTCGTTCTTTATTTGAAATGTATCCTTCCTCCTTACACTACGCTGCAGAGTAACGATTATATGACGTCCCTTAAGTGTACGATAAAATATAGAGGGGTAAATGCAAACAAAGGTATATTACGATCAGTATGCATACGATACAGAAGTCAATATCATGATGGTTAAAAGTTAAGAAGTGCAAACATTGAGAAAATTATAATTTTCACCTTTTACTCCTCTGAAACCAGTAGTGTTTCCATATCTACTAAAGATACCCATACACTTTTAGTTTGTTTATTTGGTCGTTTTACTTTCGTTTTTTTTTTTTGTATTTTTTTTTTTTTGTTGTGGGCGTCTTGATTTCACTACCTACTATGTGAAAATATTTGATAGCGAAATCATTCAACGGTGGCAATTAATCGTCAAAAATATGGATGCCGACTTGAAAGTAATTGGTTGGTCGAAAAAAACAAAAGGAAGTTACCAATAAAGCAAAACTGACGGTAATTGTAATATTTAGCCATACAAAAGTAATCGTTACACATTAAATGTTGGTTCATGTACATTTAACAACTACAAATAAAAAAGAATATATATATTTCTCAGATATTACTCAACACCTGCACAAAGGATATATTAATTGATAACTTACCGATATTGCTTTCGTACTCGCCGATATATCGCCTTGTGAGAAATCTTACGGTCACAGCTGTAAAAAGAGAAAACATGGACAACAGTTATTACCATTTTGAAGGAATGAAGAAAGTATATACTTCATACATAAGGAACAAGGGAGGTTCTGCCAGTCTATCGTTGAATTCAGTTTATGTTAGTAAGCACAAAATTGAAACCGTCATAAGTACATTGTGCAGATTTTTTGAAAAAGAATAGAGTTGTTTGCTAGCTCATTGGATATAGGCTTAATACACATGTGGCGTTATTATTGTTAAAGTAAGGTATTGATTTATTCAAAATCAAGGCGTTGAAATTCTTTTTCTTTCCCCGTCTCTTTTCCACCCTCTCTCTTTCTCACCCATCTCTTTCTATCTTCCTTTCTCTTTCTTTCTAATTGCTTTAATATACCAGGAAAAGATTACACACATAGGCTTTTATTTACAGTTCCTCTTTTTACTCTCTGTCATGTATGTAGGCCGAACTATTTATATCTCTAATTTTGCGTACTTGCCCTTCTCCCTTACCTATCGCTCTTCCTGTCTCTGCTCTCTATCTCTCTCTCTCTCTCTCACTCTCTCTCTCTCTCTCTCTCTCTATCTCTCTCTCTCTCTTCCTCCTCCTCCTTCCCATTCTCCTGCTCATCTTTCTCTCTCCTCTCAAGTTCCCCCTCTCTCCCCTTTCTCTCCGTCACCATTTCTCTCCCTCTTGCCGCAATGTTCCCTAAGGCTGTAGCATGACGAGCGAATCATCGGAGACATAAGTGGAACACGTGAAGCTTAGCTTAAACCGCCAACCAAACATTTAAGATTTAAATAGCCAATCCCCATGTCATTGTTAAATCCCTGCCGGCCGTGCCACAAAATAATCATTACCCCTTCATACGTGACACGAACCCTGCACATCCCTAGATAAATGGTACCCTGTACCTTGTTTGCATTAAACGGTCGATCAAATCATGAAATTACAAAAATGTTTAAAAAGCATAAAAACGTTATACAAATCCATTCAAAAACTAGGTTTTCAAAGCTGTAACATCATCTTGATCATCATTTTGCATGAACAAAGTCTTGGATTTTGGATCTTATTTGGTAATGATGTCAAGTAACAGAAAAATAGTCATGACATCAGAAATGGAATCGATGTTGAAATGTTAAACCCTAGCTGTCGAATCTGATCCTCTAGACATGTCGTGGAAATCGTTAGTTCTTGATCCGACACCATCGGCCGTATCATCATCGCGCCCGAGTCCCTGGACGCCTCATCATCCATTAATGTCTGACCGGGCTGACACCCCTTCGAAGCCGGGGGAGACCATCTCCACACCTGCCTCTGGTCCTATGCATGTTTACAGAGAAATCGGAGACAGCGGAGGGATTTTATGATGCCTTGTTGGCATCCTTAGTCGTGGGCTCTCATGGAGAATTTGACACTATTATGGTGTTTACCCAATAACAGGTGTTTTCAATCACTAGGATTATCCCTTAATTTTAAAACCAAAAGCCCCTATGAAATGCTTTGCATTTACCTAAAATCGCCCAAAATAGAAAGTCATTATCTTACATTTTCATCACCCGAGGACTCTCCGAGAATGGGTTTCTTGATGGGACTACGGATTTGCTGGGTGCAAACTTGCATACCCTTTAATGGTATTTCCACCAAGTATGGCGTCAGCGAATTATGACCTACTGCACATGGAAACTGACTAACATTTCTTCTAAAGTCCATCCACTATACCCTAGGAGGCCTTTTCGCTTTGCGGCTTGGGGTCTAAAGTAGAACAACTTTGCGGGTGTAAGGGGCTGCATAATTCATCTGAACTTTATGTCTCACAAACCTACCTTTGCCATGAATATGAACGCGGTGTTTGGTCTTCTTGCACATGTATAACCTAACTCCATATGAGTTCGAAACTTCAAAGAAAAGGGTGAATAGTTTATTTTCCCTCCCCGAAAAAAAAATGATGATAATAATCTTTGAAGGACTCTGTTGTTTACTTTTCCATTGTCAGTGAGAGCGTATCGAAATCTTTCATATTTAAGTCTAAGATTGTTCATATTTTCATAACTGAAAGCAAACAATAATACTGTGTAGACCTACATGTTGAAAACAGAAAGAGGCCTACGGTAGCGTTCAATCACCAAACGGAAATGAAATCTGATGACTGTGACTTGTAGGCAAAAAGCTCGTTCAATCATAGTGCCACGAGTCTCTATCATAATTTCATTATCGGTATAGGTTTATTTACTTTACTCGGTCCATCGAGATGGATAAAGTCGATATATGTCAGAGGTTTCGCGGGCCCCGATCCGTCTCCGTCATGACGGACAGGAGGTGTGCGTGGGGTAAGGTGCGTACGGTTAGGCGCATGTGTGAGTGAGTGTGCGTATGTTTATGTGTGTGTCTCTGTATCTGTGAGAAAGATGGTGTGCGTGGGGTTAGGCGCATGTGCGAGTGAGTGTGCGTATGTTTATGTGTATGTCTCTGTATATGTGAGAGAGAGAGGGTGTGCGTGAGGTGAGGCGCGTGTGTGGGTGTGGGTATGTGTATGTATGAGTCTATAAGAGAGAGGGTGTGCGTGTGTGTAGGGGATGTGGGTTGGAGATGTACAATCATGAAATTTAGCGGTCTATTGCTGTATCAGCTAGACCGGCGTACCGTAAATTCTTCTTGATGATAGGCGATAGTGGACATGTATGATGTGTGAGTGCGTTAGTGTATATGTGAGAGAAGGGAAGAGTACCGTCCAGTAACATAATAGGGACTTTTATATTTTCACCACACGTTACAGTCCAGTTCTCGTCGTGCAAATCTAAAAGTCCCTAATATTGGGGTTGATGGTGTAATATAATAATCGTACCATATGTAAACCGATATTTTTTCAGGAACTTTTTGTCTGAAGTTTTGTACTAGTGGCATATCCATATGAAGCCGCGATCATCCTCTATTTGAAGACCCCTCTAAATACATTATTCCCCATTTGGAACTAATACCGCCCCCCCCCCCCCTTATCAGTTTATGTCTACAACACTGTTTCCTGTATTCTGTTCCGTATATAAGATACAAAATACCTCTATATTTCACTTCAATGTCATCGTGGATTCGCTTGTAGTTATTTCATTTCTTCAAGTTACATATCATGTTTCGAATTAATTCATGACAATCATTATACGAGTTCTAAATCATCTAGTCACTGGGGTATTATGCCCCTCCCACCCCCCCCCCCCCCCCCCGACGCCATCTTAAATATCACACCGACGGCTCTGGAAATTTTCGATCGTTACTGCAAGCCGTGAGCGCCACTCTCGGCGTGAAAAAGGACACACCGGGTCAAACACAATGTGTGAATGCCATCAATCATAACTCGACATGTTCGACGAGATCTAAATTTAGCTCAACGCTTCGAGTCACTCATCTACCAGACTCGAATAACAATGATTTCTTCATTATGCGCCAGCAAAATATTACGGAAACGAACACAAAGCAATGTATTTCACCATCTGCAAATATCTTACGGAGTGGGGTTTACTTCTTATTCAGATGTTATACATGTATACCAGTTGATTTAATTTGATACGCATATTACTTGTCATGATTTTAATCAGAAATGAACTTTAAAAATGATTCCAACTTGGCCAGTGTAGTCATATACGTGATACACTATTAGAAGAAATAAATAACAACGCAACAAATAATTTAATTTTAAATTATCATAACGAGTGACGGTTATATTAGCGAAGCCTGAAGAATACATGTCTTTATTTTGCGGTAAAAAAACGACAAAGAGGAAGATTAACAAGTAAAATGTGATAACTAGGTTTAGTACTCGCGCTTCATCGCTATTTCGCATTCCAAATATGGCGGAAAACAGCTGAATATCCCAAAGACACCAACATTTCATGTAATCCTTTCAGATCCCCTATGTGTAGTTCCATCTACCCATTTCTGTATGCAATGTGTGACATTTTCAGCAAGAATATACATCGATTTCTTTCATTTTAGCTTCCTAAAACCTCATAGTACATGAGTAAGGATGTACTTCACAGTCAACCATTCCCAATTGATTCCACACGGTCTCTCTGAACATGTAACTGCATGAGCAGAACTCAGGTTTATCTTTAAGATGATGAGGAGCGCATTTTTTATTAAGGCTTCTTATCAGAAAATCCATCTACCAAATTCATCAAATTTCCTCTTAATCATCAAACCTCTTAGAGAAGATTTTTATACTGAGCGAATCGCCTTTGATGTTCTTCCCCAGAGTAATTTAAATTCAAAGCTCTCATAAAGGTCAATCTTATTTTCCTATAGCAATTTCACTCTCCTATTTTTCATATTGTATTATCCTCGATCCGAAACCAAAGCTTTTTTGCCTAAGATCCTGTCCAGGAAATTTTGTAAGTAGATTTATGCATTATTTCTTTTTAATTAATTAATAAAGACTGCCAGATATAACAGCAATCACGCATCTAACAAAAATGAATTATAGAATTGACCCTTAAGAGTCGATATTATTCCATTGTCTCTTTCAGTTTTCTTCCATAGTTAGTGCATTTATGCACTTGTTGTGTACGTGCAAAGGTCTTTCTTTTTTTAATAAATATCTTTCCACACTGTTTGTCGACCGTTATTCTTGTTCTTCTGTATGTGTTTTGCGTTTTTTTTTCTAGGCCTGCTTTTCGGAGATTTGTTTTCTGTCCTCCTTTCAAAACTCCCCTGAAGCTTTCCCAATATAATTTCATCGTTTTTTAAATATTTTTATTCAACTCCTCCTTTTAATCAGGATCCCCCAGTCAGTATACTTTCTCCCGGCTTGTTTTTGTTTCATTCTTCCTCCTATCCTTGTCATTCATACACGTCTTATACTCGCTTGTAGCACGAAATAAATTGTTGTCAACAAGTACGATTTGTTAGGACCGCAATGAAAAATGACACCTTAAAAGCTTTATGGAAAGCAAGGAGAATGTAAAAGAATATAAAGTAACATAACCGCGACTACATAAATGTGAAGATCCGTGCGTGAAAAACAAATCGTTT